AACTCAGTAGGAGCAGATGCTACTCCTACTGGCTGCTCGCTTTTGGGTTTCGAATAAGCGGGCACTAGGCTATCACGTGCCCCACGGTGCCACACTTGAGGCACTGGCGATTGTCCATTTTGGACTGCTATTCCTCTCAATTCATATTCATATTTTCCCAAAGCCTTCTGAATGCAATGTCGGGGTGCTCGGGAAACGAGCGTGGCCTCTTCTTCTTCTTCCACTGGTTCTGGCCTCCCTTGTTGGCCATGACAGCAATGACGTCACCCTTCCCAGACTCACTACTGCCGTTACCTCCTCCTCCTTCAGATTCTTTCAGGTAACTTCTCTACGGTCTCATCATCAAATAGCACAAGCATATGGTCCTGATGCTTTTGCCGCCGAAGGACCCGCTTGCCATAACCACCTACCGATCCCGACTTAACCACCGAAGCGGAAGACCCTTTTACTTGCGTGGTCATCTGCTCTCGTTGGAGAGCGAGATCGCGAAATTGCCGATAGTTATACTTACCTGACTTTGATTCCGCCACGAGCTATCCACGAATAGGCTTGGGCAAAGCACGTAAGTAGATATAAAGGACCTGGTTGTCCTGAAGGTTCAGTCCAGGTACCTGCAACAGACGATCCACTTCACGAGACAAAGCATCAACAAAAGTCCAACGCTTTTGGCCTATGGTTTAGCCTATGGTGGTGAGTTCATCGAAAGCCTTATCAACTGTTGTCTTGTCAAGGAATCTCTCCTTGATTTTCTAGAGAAACTGCCTTAACGTCAGGGTCTTAGCCCACTCACCTATATCCTCAAAGCCAGCGGCGTTGGCTTCGACCAACACCCATTCCTTGGTCAGTCCTCCCAGACAAGACGTGGAGAAAGCAACTTGACTTTCAGGCTCAACGGGTGCAGTGCCACAATATGTCTGTATTTCGGCGATCCACAGCAACATATTTTCTTCCTTTTTGTTGCTGTAGGTAAACGACAATTTCATCTTAACCTTTTCTTTCTTTTTCCGCTTCCTTAACCGGTTCTTCTTTCTTAGCCAGTTCTTCTTTCTTGTCGGTCGGTGCTTCTTTCTTCTTGGCCGGTTCCTCGGACTCCTTCTTCGAGGGTCCGGGTTTGTCCTTCTTCCGCATTGCATCTTTCAGAAGTTTCTTTTGGGATGGTTTTTTTTCTACCTCGCCCTTCTTTTCCTCCTAAAAACTCACCTTGTCCTTACCTTTCATCATTCTCATCATATTTTCTAATGAGACAGTATTGGAGTCTATTTTCTTTTCAAGATGAACAAGATAGACCATAATAGATTGCAACACGGACGGCAGGTCAGTCGCAACTTCCTCGAATTGAAACCGCTCCCTCATTTCCTCCAACATTCTCTTGCTGTTCTCTCTCTTCTTTCTTTCTTCTGAACTCTTCAATTTTTCTTCTCTCTTCCCTCAAGGTATTCTGTAGCTGTCTGACATTTTCCTCCATTAGTTCCACAGACAGTTGTGGTTCCACTTTCTTTTCTTCTTTCTTCTCTTCTTCTTTTCCTTTTCGGTCTATTCTTTCCAGTTCCTCGGCGACAAACCGATCAAGAGCATTACGCCCTTGTCTAATGAGTTCCGCGACTCGCCGCCCAGTTTCCAGCATCTGAACACTAGTTTTCGCGACCTCTAATTCTTCCTCTACTGCTCCCAGGTTGAACTGTCCGTGAACATGTTGCTCAGCTGCTGGACCGGCTCCGTGTATCTCACCAAGAAGCTGGCGAAGGAGGCCGACCAAAGTCTGCCTCCTTGCATCAATTTGTCCACGCATCCTTAGGTCCCCTACTTCTTCATCAGCGTAGACTATGAGAGGGATAGGAAAGAAGAGAAGTGGAATGAACCGCTTGAGGATGGAGGCACGCAGACATTTCCAGAGAGAGTGCATTTTGCCCGCGTGTATTTACTGCACAATAAATAAAATTAAAGACAAAAACAAATTCCACAGTAACGCGTCGTCTGCAGCAACTTGACAGCAAGAAATTATCAGAAGAAACAAATTTCCAAGTCTTTCCTGAGTTCTAACTTTGCTGTCTATTTGTGATGACACTCTACAACTACAGGTACCACAGCCACGGCCAGTGTGGTCAAGACAACAGCACAAGTGTAAGTATGCACAGCATCAACAGACAACCAACAGGTAAATAGAACCAACACATAACACAATCAATGGTTAGCTCTCTTCTCAATCATCTGCAGCAGCAGTACAACCCAAGTGCACATTCACACCTTCAACAGTCCTTACGCATGCCACGTGTCACCCCTGGCAATTCTGCCACGTCAGCATCAAGAACCGAAACGGTCTACAAGGAGGGATGCCACGTCACAATGCAGGTCTGCCTTACACCAATATACCACATCAGCACGTCAACAGCAAGCAGTAGTGACACAGGTACGTGCCACGTCAGACCATGCCCTGCATGCCACATTAACATTATGCCACATCAGTGGTACCAGTGCCACGTTAGCCTGTTGCCAACGCAGCTCTTCAGTCTTGAGCGTAGCCTTGTCATCATCTTCAAGGGACAGGTGCTCGCACGTGCATTACTACAATGTCTAGACTTGCGGTGTTTACCGCGCGCGTTAATAAACGTGTTTCATATTGCACATACGGCACCTCCCACTTACCTGGGTGCCACGTCAGAACCTGACAGCAGACAGCAGATCGCGATGAAGAGTTGCTCCGATACCAAATTGCAATGAACCCAGTCTGTTAGGTACTCAGAAGTCGTCAATCAACAGTAGTTTCAATATCTGTCTGAAAGTCTCCAGATCGTGGAGTGATATCTCGAGCAGTATCTCATTATCCAAAAAGAGAAGAGCGTGGAGGGAGAATAGACAAAGGAGAGGAAGAGAGAATACACAGAACTCTTCAGATCCCTCTCCTTCTCCGGGCTTCTTTCCACACTACATCATCAATGATAATAAGAATAATCCTGGTCACATACAATAGTGMCACKKGGCACTYTATSTCATGAAGACTTTGAAGACACAGCAGATTTCCAGTGACGACGTCAGCCACAGGTGAGTACCCGATTCTCTACATCCACAGATCCCGATCTTCCTCTTCCTCGCAACCAGTCAACTCATGTAGACTGCGTGGACAATGCCACATCAGCAATCAAGACAGGTGGCATGTGCCACATCATCAATGAAGACCAATAGCAGCGCCACGTAGACCAGGAGCAGCCCCGCATATACCAGAGGCAGCGCCACATATACCAGAGGCAGCGCCACGTCAGCATGCCACGAAGACCAAAGGCAGCGCCACATATACCAGAGGCAGCGCCACGCCAGCATGCCACGTAGACCAGAGGCAGCGCCATGTCAGCATTGCCTGGCGCACTGAGAAAGCGCCAGCATGCTGCCTCCCCTTTGTGCCGTCGCCCGCAGCGCCTGAGCACAGCCAGCATGTAGCCAGCTTCTCGCCAAAGTCGAGCCAGCGTCAAAGTAGCATAGCAAGTCTGAATGCTTGACTCGCTCGAGGCCAGCCTTAAGTAGCAGTCGTCGAGGCTGTCTAGCCTCGGGTGCCTTTCTTCCAGTCGTTCAGATTGACTCACATCTCAAGGCCCGGATTATACAGTTGCAGACTTCTCCCTTGGACCTGATGCTGTCTGGGTACCTGCATACAAACAAATGCGTGTGCTTGACCTGCGGCCTGGGCTAGGTACCTTTGGACTTTGACTGTTGGGTGCACCGACAGTTGACCAAAGTCAACTGTCACACACCCAGGCCCTGAATTTGTGAAGGGTCTTTTTCTGCCCTTATTTGGCCTGGGCTGAGGCCGGCCAAGTAGGCCTTCTGATGGCCCTCAGTTCCACGAGACATATGACATGGGTTATTGCAATCTGATCTGTGGTTGCGCGGGCCACATAAAAAACAAAGAAAAAAAAAAGTAACAGTTTAACCATGCATTGTGAAAGATTGTCACTTGAATGGGCGAGAAGTAAGGGGACACCCTTGGCCGTGTTTTGTTAGAGCCCGGCTGGATCGGTAAACAGGTCCAGAGGTCCTATCCTGTAGCCGTTGATAAAGAGGCCGAAGGTTCATACCCTGTAGCTTACTACTGCCTTCCCCCGATCACAACGCACCTTGATAATGAATGTATACAAGCTATGTTTCCGGTCCGGTGCAGCCAAAATGAGGGTGCATTGTGTTCGGGGGACGACGGTAGCTGTTCATAGACAGGCCAAGAGTTCCTATGCTGTAGCTGTTGATTCACAGGTTTCATGAGTTCAAATCCTGAATGGTACGCACATGTTGATGTTGATAAACAGGTCATGAGTTCAGATCCTGAGCACCGCACACATGTTGATAAAATGGTTTCGTGAGTTTAAATCCTGAATGGTATAGATGTTGTTCTTGATAAACAGGTCATGAGTTCAGCTCCTCCACTGTGGTCATATGTAGCAGTTGATGAACAGGTGAAGAGTTCAAGTCCTGAATGGCAACACACATGTACCTGGTTGTGAAACAGCTCATGTGGTCGAATAATGAGCGGTAGGCGCCCGATGCGCACAAAAAAAAAAAAAAAAAAAAAAAAAAAAAGAAGAAGAAGAAGAAGAAGAGGAATGGTATGCACATGGAGCTGTTGATACAACAGGCTGCGAGTTCAAAATTCAAATCCTGCACAAAGACGGTCGTTTCTGTTGAGCTCGTGATGATTTTGATAGCCCCTTTCTCTATGTGGGCCTGGTCCCCTTTCCCCTGCTCTTTCTACCAGTTTCCCCGTTTTTTGCTGCTGGTTGACCTCCACTTGCTTCTTTCAATAGAACTGATGCGGGAGGGTCAAGAAGGAGGCTTTGCTACAGAAGACAGTTCTCCCTATATGTTAATGTCAGGCCTGCACTTTCAACTTCTCACACCATTGAAACAAACAACATTTCAAGAAAGAATGAAGAGGCCAACACCGAGAAGCAGTTTTTCAGAATCCGATCGTTCTTTTTTTTCACAGTTCTTTTTTTCTTTTCTTTTCTACTTGTCAGGAGCATTCTCTTTCTTCATTTGTGGGCACTGTGACGAAGATGATTCCACAGGTATGGATACTATGGATGCATTCTCTCTATATTCATTGTGTTCTCTCACTCCTTTACTCCGTTGACTCCGTTCTCATTGTGCGCTGGTATTGCTTCTGTGTTAAACCTCACCAGTTCTGGATCTCTCTTCAAGAACATGCCCTGCCTTTTTCTTGTTTCTAGTACTTTTTACACATTACTTTATGTGACTCCATCATAGATATGTGTGCACGTGCTGTGCACTGCACGTACGCTGTGCGCTGTGCGGTGCAGAAAAACTGGGTGTGGCAGGGCAGCACCTCAGACAAAACGTTGCTCAAAATAACCTTTACTAAGTAAGTTCATTTTTATTTTTTTTTTATAAAAAAATTTGGACCATTTCTCGATTTATGCGTGTCATCCTTGTGCATGGGCCATGCTAATCTTCTCTGTATCGTTCCAATTTTAACGGATGTCCCGAAGGACCACTAAGTTCACTCTTTGCTTTCAGTTCGTTTTTCTTTTCTTTTCAATTTTACTTTTTGATTTTTTGTTTTCTCTAACGAGCGATAGCCTTGAGATATCATTGTCGAACTCACTAACCCCAGTTAATTCAGAAGTTATCAGATTCCGTTTATCTGGATTTGAACTCAGGTCTGCATTTCAACAGTTCATAGGTGTGCCAACTGAGTTAGCAGGCCCGTTGGTACTGGTTCAAATTTTTTTCTTTTTCTTTATTTTTTCTTTTCCGCAATTTTCTGTGCAACTGCATGTCCGATATCACACGTGTGCTGTGTGGCGTGTGCGCCACACATTCACAAAGGCATGCACGCTGTGCTCATGCTAGTACGAGCTGATTCCATCAGGGTTCATTCAAACCTGTGAGCTGTTTACTTAACAGTTACATGTGCGTAGCATTCAGCCACATGCGCTGGGTAACATACCTTGCCTTCTCAATCAGGAACGAAGAGATTTCTGTTGATGTTCATAACTTTACTGTGCGCACTCCTTTTCTCCATGTGCTTCCAGTGTCGCTACTGCTTTCGTGTAAAGTCTCACCATTTCTTAATCACAGTCCAAAAACATACTGTGCCTTCTGAAATTGGGACAACGGGGTTGCTATTAACCACCTTGGGAGAAACCGAGTGCTGTGGGGCTCTTTGCTGTGAGGAATTGAGTGCCAAAGTGTCCCAGGATGTTCCATAGACCAATTGGCACCACTGTCTTCCCCTGAACACAGCACACGCTGATCACGAATGTATACAAGCTATCTTTCCGGTCAGGTACAGTGGTGATGAGGGTATGTTGCATTCGAGGGAAGATGGTTGGTTTCTTCACAAAACGATTGGATGAGGTTCATTGAGGTTGCTTCATGGGATGATTGGCAGGAGACTACAGGTTGATTAAGGGGCAGGCCCCACTGCTGGTATGTTCATGCTTGGAAAGCATGAACCTGAGCATGATAATGACTAGGTTCATGCTTTCCTAGCATGAACATAGCACCAGTGGGGCCTGACCTAAGTCAGAAATGAAGTGGCATGTATTTGTGGAGCTTACTCTCACAGCCGCGTCGCATTCAGGAGAGGATGGTGTGTTTCTCACAAGACGATCATTTGTTGCAGTTGCCTCATGCTATGATTGGCAGGAGACTGCAGGTTGTTTAAGGCAGGCCCCAGTGGCGCTATTTTCATGATTGGAAAGCATGAACCTGGCCAATGATAATGACCAGGTTCGTGCTTTCCTAGAACGAATATTGCACCAGTGTGGCCTGACCCCAAGTCCGAAATGAAGTGTTCCTGGAGTCATGAACCTTATTCTCAGCCTTGTTGCATTGAGGGGAAGACGGTAGGTTTTTCCGAAAACGATTGGTGAACATTCATTGAGAGGACAGATTGATTAAGGGGCCGGCCCCACTGGTGCTATGCTGATGCTGGGAAAGCATGAATCTGACCATGATAATGACCAGGTTCGTACTTTCGTAGCATAACATATCACCAGTGGGGCCTTGCCCTAAGTCGGAAATGAAGTGGCATAGAGTCGCTGAACTTATTCTGAGCCTCTTTACTGAACACTATCTTCGTTTGGCATGCGGATGAGCTGTTTGTCAACGGACCCATCGCTGAAGCTTTTTATGACACACAGTGAAGCATCTCTACAGGTTTGCTGAATGACCACGCCCGGGGAAGTCCACAGCATGCTCTGAGCTCTCCCAAGTGGCCAGAAGACGGGTCTTTGTAGGTAAATAGAATGGCAAGCATCAGCTTGAAGTTCACTCGACAAGAGTGCGATCTGATTCCGAAATATAGACCTTAACATAGTCTAATGGGACCCGACCATAACTGGTACTGGGGCAAGAAACCTTAATGACCCTCTCCTACTGCTCCCACACCTAGCCTCTCTCACCGTCGTTTTATTTCTGTGTGTGTTTGGCCTGGCCTGAAGCACACTGCTTCAGGCTTTCTGGATCATCTAGAATTCAACCCTCACTTCAGCGCTCCTACACCGCGTGGACCTTCATTCCTAATGCCACTAGGACTGGAGCTAGAACTCCTTGCCTTGCTCTGGCTATGGGGGTACACCTACCTCCTCCATTCCTTTGTATATTGGTGGGCTAAATGTCAGGGTCCGCTCGCGATGTGTGAGGAGTTCAATTGGCAACCATGCACGCGGAAGGCTATGTGGCCCATCCATGCACGAGGAAGGCTATGTGGCCCTGAATGTGCTCAGGAGATGGGGGGGAGGGGGAAAGGGGGGAGGGGGGGGGTGGAGATCGCCTGTTTGCTGTCTTAGCCCCGAACACTGTCGAAAGTTGCACCTGCTGCACCTTTATCAACTACTGTTTTGTATTTGCTGAATACAACTCCACAAAAAATTGGATGACTGTGACAGACTGCTTTGTCAAACTCGCACCGACTCATCAGGAGGTTGAACCTGAAAAGTCTGCCCAGGATGGTTCGGAAAGTAGGACAGATGAAGAACGAGAAGTGACTCGGGCATACTAGCAGATCTCGTCCCCCTGTCACCACCTTTTTCACCCCTCCTTTGCATCCTACCCGGAGCTGCATCATCGTACTATATGCTTGCCAATGGTAAGCAACCGTCCTATATGTTCCCCCCAGAATATAAAGGGGTTAACTGCCCCCCCCCCCGCTACTCCTCAAGTCTGCCCGGGATGCATTTGGCTGATGGGTCAGATTTCACCACCTTGCCCTAGATCAACTTCACTTGCACAGCTCTGGAATCCTAGCTGAGTGTTCTAGGTCAAACCCCTCACAATAACTGCAGTGTAGGGCTGGGCCCCACTGGTGCCCTACGCATGCTATGAAACCACGAACCTTGATGCTATTATGGCCAGGCTCATGCTTTCAAGCAGGATTTAGCACCAGTGGGGTCTGCCCTGAAGACTTTGTCGGACTCCTGGGCCACTCCTTGCCCTAGTCTTGTGAGTCCTCCCCTTCAAAACCTGAATTCAATCTTGTCCAGCAACTTCTATTTATTCTCTTTACAGCTAGGGAGATATCCCGGGCGCCCGTGTCCCAATGTCACGCCCGGTTTTACGACCGGGTGACCGGCCGGGCATGGGCCCGGGCAGCCCCAGCACCAAAAAAAAAAAAAAAAACTGCAAAAAAATCTGAAAAAAAATAAAATGTTGTGTAGAATTGCAATACGAACAACTTTTGGCTGAGGGTCACATCAGAATTCCTCACGGAACTCAAGATTAAAAAAAAAAAAAAACGAGCAAATCACACTAAGGCACCCCCCTTTAAGCCCCTTTGGCGGAAGTTTGGCCCCTTCAAATTTCACATATACTCCTCTTCCCACCCCTTGACAGCCAACTCTCAAAAAAAGAAAAGAGCCCGGATTTGGGCTCCTCTTGGAAAGCGCGGAAAAACCCACCGCCAATTTTTTTACTTTTTGTTTTTATTTTTATTTTTTTCCCCATGCCCAGGTATCCCGGGCGTCAGACCCCCACGGGCGTTATGCCCGGGTGACCGGCCGGTCCAGACCGGCCAGTCATGAAAATCTTCCTAGCTTTACAGAAGCTTTTTGCTTCCTGGTATCATACTGCTCAGTTCAGAATGCAAGACTCAGCTTTGAGACGATGCTATGCATTGCAACTTGCAACTCGAGAAGAACGTGAAGAAGTGGATTTATACCAGGAGAGAAGAAGAAATGAAGAAGAAAGTAAGAAGGAAAAAAAAAAAAAAAAAAAAAAAGGGGTAACTTCAGTAGAGTCACAAAAACGAGTTATGATTGCACTATGGGGCAAGACACAGTTTGCAATTGCACTTCGGGCACCCTACCTGGCCAGAAAGCTGGATTGTATACATTGCCCAAACTGCAATTCGAAACTGTATCTTGGCCCATAGTGCAATTATAACCAGTGCTGGTCCCCAGTTGGACCGGGGGGGCCTCCCCCACCCGGGAGCCTGACCTGCCGGTCGACCGGCCCGGCAGACCTCCGGTTGAATCCAGCGCATTAGGCTGGACGGGGGGTACCGGGCAGTGACAGGTATCCCCACGACTGCCCAGCCCCCACGAGGCCGCGGGCTCCAAGAAAAAAAAAAATGGGGCCTTTTGGGCCCCACTTCTAGGAAACAACGAGCGGAGAATCTCCGCCGCTTATCTTTGCAGATCAGCGGCAAACGACCGCCACGCGCGTTTTCTCAAAAATTGGGGGGCCACCAGGCCCCACATTTTGATTTGGCATAGTGTGGTCCGACAGACCACGGACCAGTTATCATTGGCATGACATACTCGTCCATCCTCATCCACGAAGGAATTACTATGGAAGAGCAGTGGCTCTCCTGAGGTTATATGCTTCTGCAACATCACTAAGCTCTGGGGAAAGAGTTATGGGTTTGGGTTTCGGCTCTGTCTGAGGTGCAAGCCCAAGAATGGACCTCAGCTATATTTTTCTGTCAATCTATCTAGAATGCACGTGGCTCCACTACATGTATCTGGACAGACTASCAGGCGAGATACTTTCGGACTGAGGACACTGATGACCCAGCGTATTTAAAACAAAAAAACAACAGAAA